TTTTTTTTTCCCAGGAAAATACTATTGCCTATTGGAGAAAATTTGTGGCGGAGTATTATTCTCCGCGTGCAAAGAAGAGATGGTGCCTATCTCTTTATGAAAATGTCGGGCATCATTCACTGGGGGTATTCCCACAGGCAGCTATGGTAATATCAGTGTTCATAAATACTTTTCAGTTTCTGACTGGTATTGACCGAAGTTTGAATTTCTTTTAAGGCATGATGCTGATGGTTCTTTTCTTTCTTCTGATGCAGGATGCATGGCAGTGTGACATTTGTGGTTCAAAATCTGGAAGAGGTTTTGGTGAGCTTCATTTAACCTTATGTGTCATCATGCCAGTTGTAGCTGTATATTCGTTCATTTTCCAAGTAATTTGCCAAACTAAGCTGGGAAGAAGAACTACAATGTCATTCACCGTTACAACTGCGATCCAAACTTCTTTACAAATCTCTTGGTGATTAACCAATGTGCTAGAGGCTGAGAGTTGCTTTATATGTGAAAGTTATTGCCAATTACAGTTGGACATTTAGTTGTCCCACTTGACTTGAACTGTGATATCGTTGAGGGATTTTGCAAATATGTCTGTTTGGTCTTGTTTATCATGTACTAACGATGATGAATTGCATGGTTGAGATCATGTTGTGCAATGTCATAAAACTATAACAAGCTCCTTCCCAATCCTTGTGGTGTACTATTGCCCCAGTCTTGTCTCTGTAGATATTTACTGAGCGGCAGTTCATGTTGTGTACTTTTTTTCGGACATAAATTTTTTTTGTCTCCCTCAAATGGATAATATCCAATCTGTGTTAGGTCACTGCCATTTCAATCTATCTACATAAAGTGACAGTCATTTCTTGTTATGTTTGAACCACTTGTTTTGGACAATATAATTGCCTCAGCGGTAATTTTGGTCGACCTTGATATTGCAATCTATCATGGTTAGTGATTCCATAGCATTTCTGTGTTACGGGAAGTCAAAGTCCATCTCGATTTATTTGAAAACATTGATAATATCTACATCCTTTTGTGCTGGAAAAACTCCTTGAATGGTGAGATCTGAGTTGATGACTGACTAGGTGAAGCAAAAGCAAAAAAAGTTCTTTTTGCTCAATTGGATACTCTACGCGACGATGTTCTATTTTCAAGTTGAAGGATTTCAGAATTCTCTATCCTGACTAACGTACATCTGCACTGACCAAATGGATCGCATTACTATTTATCTTTCATGTTTACCCCTTTACAAGCTTGTCTAAGTATTCAAAATGTGAAGCATGATTTGTGATTTGGGTTAAGACTCACCATACAGTATTCAGAGTTTTGATTAAATTTGATAATGTCTAAATGTCCCTATGGTATCTTGTAGTTATATTAACTTAATAATCTTCATATCTACCTTCATACCTTTGGTTCCACTTCTTATTCTTGCTATTTCATTTTTTGCCTTGGGGTTATATTAGCTTATCATTCTGATTATTACTACTATTCGATGGTTCTGAGTTGAAGTTTTCATGATCATCTGCTGTGTTGGCATTTATATAAATAATGGGTTCCTTGGACTCAGTGAACTGGTTGGGTTCATAAAATGAATATGAAACCAATTGCCAGGGAAACAGAATATCATGTGGTTGATTGCATTTCTTCGAATCCTGAACCTATATATTAGCTCCATTGTTCGTTTACTCTAAATATTCCCCTTCCTTCTTTTTTTTTGTTATCAACAGAAGCAACTTTTGACGCACTCCCAAGACTCGATGAAATTAAATTTGGTAGTGGCATTATTGACGAGCTTCTATTTCTGGACTTGCCTCGGGAGTGTCGATTCCCATCGGGAATGATGATGCTGGAGTATGCAAAGGCAGTTTCAGAAAGTGTGTATGAGCAACTCCGCGTAGTTCGCGAGGGTCAGCTTCGCATCATTTTCACCCCTGATTTGAAGGTGAAGATTAGAAGCCTTAATATAGTTTGCATCTTTTCATTTGTATCGTTATTTAACACTTGCGTCATAATTTTACAGATACTATCTTGGGAATTTTGTGCACGGCGCCATGAAGAACTTCTGCCTCGTAGATTGGTTGCGCCTCAGGTAGACTTACTTGCATTGTCTGAGTTTTCACTATTTGCACTCTCTCTGGAAATTACAATTTTAGTTCTCATATTTGATATTCCACATAACACAACATTGCTAACTGGTGATTGCAAGGCTGGCATGCTTGTTTATGAAATAAGTTGCTCACACTTTTTTCATACTCAAAATCTAACTCAATTTTAACTCAACCCCACTATCCTTAATATTATTTATATAATTAAATATTATAAACTCATCATTCTTACATATCACATCAACTTTAATTCATTATTCATTCACTCACATAATTTTAACTACCTATCATTTCCAATTATTTATCTCCTACTTTTACATCAAATCAATAATAATCATTTTCTTTTAAAGATTATTTTAATACATTATTAAAATCTCTCTAACAATTAACCGTACCACCTCTTTCAAATTTAACTCTAGTTAATCAAAATAACTCATTTTGAGCAAATTATTTCATAAACAAGCATGCCCTAACCACAGTGTCATTTTTCCATTCAACTTAAACTAGCAGTCCCATCTGTATATCTATGTAATATACAGAACTATTTAGGGGGCGATTGGATTGAAATTATCCGGTTTTGACTGATCCGATATTACACTCTTTAACTCAAAATCCAACTCAACGTTATCTAACTTGACTCGCACCAATATTATGACAAATCATTAAACTCATCATCACACATCAACTTCAATTCACTATTCATCCACTCACATATTTTTAACTACACATCACTTTCAATCACATCTCTCCTATTCTTACATCACAACAATTTTAATCATTACATTTTGAATATTATTTAAATACAAACTCAAAATCCCACTCAATTCTCCACCCAATCAACTTTATTCAAAACAACCCATTTTATCCAATAAATCCAATCAAACCAGTAGTTCTTGGAATCTTGTCTTTACTAGTGGAAATTGGAAAATGCCAGGGAATATACTTTTCAGTAATGTCCATCTTCTTGACCATGACATACGCTGAAGGTACTGTAATGTATCTCTTGGTACGCTGCTTCCGTGGTTGGCTTTGTTATGGATAAAGTTGATTTCATAGAAGAGTAACCCTGTTTCCTAAGAGTATTGTATCATATATTACTCTTTCGTAATTCCTTTGCCTTCATTGAAAAAATAAAAAATAAAAAAAATATTTGAATGCAATTTGTCTTGATTGGCAATCTGAAAGCAGCCGTAGACACTATGGGTTTGGTGCGTCTTGATGATCTATAATTGCTGAGTCGAATGTAAAAGCAGTTCTTTAGTATTATTTATTTATTTAGTAAAATGGCCTATTCTAGGGATGGCTGCAAAATGCCCACCCTTCAGATGTACAACAAAATATGATCTCTCCACCTTTTGGATGCTTTGAATGTGATCCTGTAGCGTGACAGTCCGGTTGGATTCATAACTTACAGGAAGTGCTTGTATTTCAGGTGAATCAATTGCTGCTGGTTGCACAAAAGTGCCAAAGCACGATATCTGAAAGAGGGCCCGATGGTGTTTCTCAACCAGATTTACAAGCAAACAGTGTCATGTGAGCAGATTTCTTTTTTATTTATTTATTTATCTACTATTCAGTGGTTTAGATATGGCCTCTCCCTGGTTCATTATTTTTGCAGCATGCTACTTATTGGTGCTTCAAAGTTTATTTTTCATTATTTTTCGTTTCCTGACAATTACCATAGATTTTCACCTTTTACTGATATAGTTAAGCTCAATAACATAGATCACTATGTAATGAATCCATATGGTGGATCAGGTACTGCCAAAGAATTACCTGTTTTAGAGTCGGAATATGGTGCATAAGTGACAAAGCGGAGAAAACCTGTTATTCTCCCAGTACATTTAATGCCGAACGATATTTAGCTTGTTTGCAAAGATATGATTTTTTTTTGGCCTGGAAGAATACGATTAATTGTAGTTTTTCATTCAAGCTACATTAGTTAGAATGTGTCATCATTCTATTCTGTTTCAGGGTCGTAACAGCTGGACGCCAGCTCGCCAGAAGTTTGGAGCTACAGTCGTTAAACGACTTGGGCTTCTCCAAAAGATACGTGCGGTGTCTACAGGCATGTTTCAGCTAATCATAACTCCGCAACTCAATCAATCCTTCTTTTCCTTTTCTTTTCTTTCCTTTTTTTTTTTTTTAATTTTTTATTGTTTTTTGGCTCAAATCTCATATGAATAGATATCTGAGGTTGTGAATAGCATGAAAGACCTGATGGAATTCTGCACATCTCAAAAAATCGGTCCTATTGGTAACATATCCTTTAACCGTCCTCCATTTCAAATTTTTCCACAAATGGTACTCTCTCAACAACACATTTCTACAAATTTTCTTGATTTCATCTAATTCTGCAGAGGGCTTGAAGAATTTCCCCCGTCACCCCTCGACGAACACTCTCGACAAGCTCATGGCCATGCACCCAGGGCTCAACGGCTTAATGAACAATAACCAACTGGTTAATCGAGGAGGACCCATGACCGGCTCAGCCCAGGCTGCTCTCGCATTGTCTAACTACCAACATCTGCTAACGAGACAAAATTCGGCCAACTCGGCCCAAAATAACAGCAACATTAATAATAATAATAATAATAATAATAATAATAATAATAATAATAGTAACAACAATAATGATAATAGTAACAGTACAGTTAAGCAGGAGGCTACTTCTCCTTACAGCAGCCAGACCAACACGGCAACTCCAGGGCATTCTGGTAATTTACCACCACCAGCCATCAACGGATTTTCACAGCACCAAAAGTTACTGCAAAATCAACCGGTCCCTTCACAAGGCAGCCAGGGTTTACAGCGGCCCGTCTTCACACAAAACCAAGACGGGCCCACCGAGAACCCTCCTCCGAGTAGGAATGACAGTCTGAAAGGCGGGCCCACCGGAGAAAATGTGGGCTTCTGCCAGAAAACGCCAGACGTGACTCGGGATCTTCACTTGGCTGACGAGCTGGTTCAAGACGTGGCTCAAGAGTTTATAGACAACGGGTTTTTTAGTGATGACCTGGATGATAATATGAATTTCAGCTGGAAGGCGTGACGATCGACTAACTAATAACGGCATTTTTTTTTAAATTGATGTTTAATATGAGTGTGTCTGTATAGGCTGGATGGTGGTTGGTTTACCTGGGAAACTTTATATTTTTCCACTGGTTTTATTGATTGAGCTTCATGGTTGTTATTGTAACATTGTTTTCCTGTTTGTTAAGTGTAAACTGTGGGTTTACGCTAATGATTTTTCATGGAGGTGTAATTTATTTGAGATGAATTTTGGGGGTTTTTATTTTTTATTTTTATTTTTATTTTTATTTTTAACAGAGAGAGAGAGAGGTTTGACCGTTAAATTATTTTATTCAACATGTTTGGAGTAGACAATTTTTAAATTTAGTTTATTCTCTGAATAAATTACATTTTTAGTTATGTATGTTTCACTACTTTAATTTTTTTGTCCTCTTTGAATTGTGTTTTTTATTTTCGTTCCGTACGTTTGAAAAATAGTTACAAAAATATCATTTTTGCAACAAAAAATTATTTTAATTTCGTCCCTTATATATGAAAAGGATTATTGTATAATTTTTTTAAAAAAATACAGGACGAATATTAAAAACGTAATTTAAAAACGCTATTTAAAAAGGATAAAAAAGTTAAAGTAGATAACTAAAATTCTAATTTACTCTTATTTGCTCTACAGGGCTACTTTTGAAAAAGCACCAAATAAATATTAAGAGACGATTGAATATTTTGTGGTAAAAGTTGTGTTCATATATTTTTTCATATTAGTTATAGTTAGTGTTAACTACTAAAATTAATTTACGATATATTTCCTATTTTATTATTAATAATATTTATTTGTTACAAATTATAATTCATATATATTTTATTATTAATAATATTTATTTGTTACAAATTATAATTAATATATTTTGTAAATTAGCAACTTTTAAATTCATAATTAAAATAAATGTACACAATATTAAAAATATTGTGCCTTTAATGCATCCGGGCGCAGGGGATAATTCCTTCTCGAACTCCACTTGGGACCTACAGCTTCCAGACCCTTAACTCCCAATCCAAATGCGCCACGTGTATTTCAAACCCAAACGACCTTGTGTTGCCACCGTCAGATCCTGCCACCGCCTCCACACGCCTACGATCATCCGGCACGTGTCCACAACCCCACCGTCTGTATCCCGTTACCGGCAATCCTCCACCGGCTATAGCCGGTGGCTCCTCCCTTTTCTATTCCCGCTAGGTATATAAAGGCCGACCAGCAAAAGAAATCTCTCTCTTCCGATTACTTTCTAATTGTTTTCCGATTACTTTCAGTGTTTCAAGGTACATAATTAGCATATTCCGGTCTCCATCTTCTCTCTCTCTGTATGCTGCTTTCTCTAGTGTTCTTCCCCAAGTACAGAGCTTTTCTTTTCTCTATGTATTCTGTCCCACAATTCGGATATTAGTGGCAATTGTAAGGTTTTGATTATTGATTGTTGTCAATGGTGGTTGGGTGTGTGTGTGTGTGTGTGTGTTTTTTTTTTAATTATGTTAATTAAGAGCTCTAATCTGATTGTTTTTGCTGCAAATGGGGGGGAACTAGCTTATTAAAGTAAATTTCAGTTGGATCGCATTGTTTTCTTTGTTGTTGGAAAGTCTGTAAATTGGGTGTTCCTTTTTTTGTATAATTTGTCTAGTTGTGATTGGCGTAGTTGTTTGATTTATAGGATGGCGCCTTTAGTTTCGACCTCGTCGTGGCTAAAGATGTGTTCTTTTATTTGAGCTGGTGTGTAAATCTTAGTGGTCTTGAATTAGGGTTTTCTGGGTATTAGTGGGTTGTAGTGGGCCGTAAGAGAGCATTAGCATTTTCCCTGCTTTGCTTAACTCTTAAAAAGTTGCTACTGGCTACCAGTTTGTTTTCTCAGTAGTGTTATTTGTTTTGTATTTTATATCATCGTGTTAGATTTTAAGCTGTAATTAGTTACTTGCTGATGTTCATGCTTGAACTCTTGGCAGTGTCCGTACAATTATTTAATTATCTATGGGGTTCGATATGCTGGTGTAAAGACAAGTGAAAATGAAAAAAAGGTTACTGGTGAAAAATTAGCCTTCAGTTCGTGTTGGTTGCACCTCGAGTGATAAAATTCGAAGCGATTGTAATTTGATACAAAGGGCTTCTGCACTTTAGCGAGCTTGATTCCTGAATTCTTGAACTACCCTGGAACTCTTGAAGATTCCTGCACTGTAGAAAACTTTGAATCTAAGAAATTAGGCGCCGGGTGCCACAGATGGTGCCTTCTCGCGCAGCGGGAGGGATGCCACAATCATCTTCGAGCTCTGGAATATTTTTCCAAGGGGACGGGCAGTCTCAGGTTGCTGGCAATTCACAGCTGAGTTCAAACATCAGCAACTCCATGCACTCCATACCCGGACGAGCACGTGTCAATGTGGGCCCACTGTCGGGGGACGTTTGTAATGCGGTCCTCAACAGCATGGCAACCTCAGCACCCAGCATTGGGGCGAGCTCTCTGGTCACTGATGCCAACTCGGGGCTCTCAAGCGGGCCCCACATGCAAAGAACTGCGAGTTTCAACACAGATTCCTACATGCGCCTACCCACTTCCCCACTCTCGTTCACATCCAACAACATAAGCATCTCAGGTTCGTCCGTCATCGACGGGTCCTCTGCCGCGCAGCAAAGCTCCAATCAAGACCTGGCACAAGCCCAGCAAAATCAGCACTCGAGCACCACATCATTGCCCGGGTCGCGAATGGGGCAGGTCCAGATCCCTGTTGGGCCNAGGGGCCCGAATTCTTTCATTCAGGACCCGAACACCATGTCTCAGATTCAAAAGAAGCCCCGCCTGGACATCAAGCAGGAAGATGTTGTTCTGCAGCAGATTTTGCAGAGGCAAGACTCGATCTTGCAGAATCCGAATCCTCAGCTGCAGGCTCTGATCCAGCAACAGCGGTTAAGGCAGCAGCAGCAGCAGCAAAGAGAACAGCTTCTTCAGTCTATGCCGCCTATGCAACGGGTTCAGTTGCTGCAGCAGCAACAGCAGCAGCAGTTGAGACAACAGCTTCTGCAGCAGCAGGGCGTGCAGCCAGGTTCGGGAATAAAACGCCCATATGACGGTGGTGTATGCTCACGTAGACTAATGCAGTACCTCTATCACCAGAGACAACGCCCTGCTGTGAGTAATATTAACTGTGTTTTACTTGATCTGATTACATGTGTTTTCATTTTGGTGTTATCTGGTCTGGCTTTTCAGTCGGTGTGTGTTCCCTATAATTTAATTCTCTCTTTCTCTGAACACTATTTTAATTCTTTTGTTGTATCTTTTTGCCAGGACAACAGTATTGCCTATTGGAGAAAATTTGTGGCTGAGTATTATTCGCCGCGTGCAAAGAAGAGATGGTGTCTATCACTTTATGACAATGTCGGACATCATTCGCTGGGAGTATTCCCTCAGGCAGCAATGGTAATTGACTAATTGTAGTGCTTATTGGCAGTTTCTGATTTGAGTTGACCAAAGTATGGATTTTTTTTAAGGCGTGAATGCTAAGGGTTATTTTTCGTTTTCTTCTGATGCAGGATGCATGGCAGTGTGACATTTGTGGTTCAAAATCTGGAAGAGGTTTTGGTGAGTTGCATTTAAAATTATGGGTCATCATACCAGTTGTAGCAGTATATTCCTTCATGTTTCTAATTAATTTGCCAAACTAAGCTGGGAAGAATAACTATCCTGTCATTCACCTTTATCACTGTGCTCTATACTTCTTTACTAATTTCATGGAGATTAATTACTGTACTAGAGGCTGAGACTAACCTTATAAGTGAAAGTTATTAGCAATTACAAGGGGAGGTTTACTTGTCCCACTTGACTTGAACTAAGATATTGTTGATGGGTTTTTCATATGTCGTTGTGCCTTGTTTATTATGTACCGATGAGGATGAGTTGCACGGTTGAGATAATGTTGTCCAATGTGATTAAACTATAACAAGTTCTCTCCTCTTTTTCTATCCTTGTGCTGTACTATCGCAAAAGTCTTCTTTTCTCTGTACATATTTATAGAGTGACAGTTCACGTTGCGCACATTTTTTTCGGACGTGTGGTCAGATTTTTGTCTTCAAATGGATAATGTCCAAGCCTAGTAAGGTCACTGCCATTCCAATCTTAATCCACATAAATTACTGTGTTTTCTTGTTATGCTTGAACCATTTGTGTTGGTGACGATATAATCGCCTTGGCGGTAATTTTGTTAGAACTCGACATTGCCTTCTAACATGGTTAGTGATTCCATAGCTTTTCTGTGTTATGGGAAATTCAAATCCATTTCCATTTGTTCCAAAATCTTGATAATCTCTGCACTCTTTTGTGCTGGAAAAAACTCCTTGAATGGTTGAGATCTGAGTTGATGATTGCCTACCGAAAGTAAACGCACAAAACAGTTTTTTTTTTTTGCTTGAATAGATATTTTATTCGACGATGTGTTCCATTTTCTAGTTGAAGGATTTCTGTCTTCACTTTTCATTGCTAAATGTACACATGCACGGACCAAATTATCCAATTAATCTTTCATGGTCACCCTTTACAAGCTTGTCTAAATATTCAAAATGTGAAGCATGATAAGTGATTCGGGTGGAGACTCACCATATATTATCCAGAGTTTTTAACAAATTTGATAATGTCGGGAATGTTATGGTATTTAGCAATTGTAATGACTTAATAATCTGTATATCTACCTTTATACTTTTGGTTCCACTTCTTATCATTACTTTTTCATTTCTTTCCTTTGGGCTATATTGGCTTATCATTCTGATTATTACTATTAATATTATTATTTGGTAGTGGGGAGGGGTGGGTCACTGATCCTGATTTGAAGTTCTCATAATCTTCGGTTGTGTCATGATGGCATTTGTATAAAGGATGAGTTCCTTGGCTTTTTGAGCTGGTAGGGTTCACAACATGAATATGAAATCAATTGCCAGGCAAAAAGAATATCATGCAGTTGATTGCATTTCCTTGGACCCTGGACCTATGTACTAGCTGCATTGTTTGTGTATTCTAAATTCTTTCGCTTTCCTTTTCGTTATCAACAGAAGCAACTTTTGAAGTACTCCCAAGACTCGATGAAATTAAATTTGGTAGCGGCATTATTGACGAGCTTCTATTTCTGGACTTGCCTCGGGAATGTCGATTCCCATCGGGAATGATGATGCTTGAGTATGCAAAGGCAGTTTCAGAAAGTGTGTATGAGCAACTCCGTGTGGTTCGCGAGGGTCAGCTTCGCATTATTTTCACCTCTGATTTAAAGGTGAATATTTGAAGCATTGTTCTTTGGATCTCTTCATTGTATAGACATTTAACACTTGCTTCCAAATTTTTAGATACTATCTTGGGAATTTTGTGCACGTCGCCATGAAGAACTTCTGCCTCGTCGATTGGTTGCACCTCAGGTAGACTTGCCTTGTCTGAATTTGTACTGTTTGAGCTCAGTGGAAATTACATTTCTGCTTCTCATATTCCACATAAGACAAAATTGTTTACTGTTACTTGCAATGTTAACCCTGCATGTTTCATATATATATATATATATATATATATATAATATATCTACTTAATATATAATTATCTATAAATTTGACACATCTAGTGAAAATCATTTCAGACCACTAATTTGATACATTTGTTGAATTAAATATTGAATGTGGATCTCAACCTTATCAACTTCTCAAATTTTATATGCATAGTTTTGAAGCATTTACCTTCAGAAACTTAAGGGTAGGTGCTTGGAGTGTCCCTTAAAATCTAGACACTTAGAGCATCCACAATGCTTTAGGTTCAATCACAAAAAATTGTATACCACATAAGAATAGACCTAGTCTAAAAAATTATATAGACTGGGTCTGCTGATGTGGCAGCCAGAAAAAAGTGACCCGGTCGACCCTTAAGTCTATTTTAGACCCAAGTAGAGACTTGGTCCCTTTGCATTGGAGTGAATTTTATTAATTTTACATACTTTATCCATGACATTCAAGACTTGGGTTTATTTACATGCCACATAGGCAAGTTAGACCCAATGCATTGTAGATGCTCTTAGGGTGAAGGCAGGGCCTTACTGTCCACAAACCTTTTGTTATGTCCTCTTTTTAAGCAGTCAAAGTTGTTACAAGTGAGCTTATTGGTAATCATAACCAAATCATTTTAAATTATTGGGACTTGCTCTGCGCCTCATGCTGCAGAAGTTCTTGGCTGGTTAAAACATGTTTGTTTAACATATTTCACTTAAAACTCAAAAATCTACTTCAACCAAATACATATTTCTGTCACTAGACATACGGAGCTACTCTTCATCTGTTTACCCGAACCCAATTTCATTACCAGTAGGATCTCAGAATCTTGTCTTTGTTATTGGAATTTGAAAATACCTGTGAAAATTTACTTACTTTTCGATAATGTCCATCTTGACAAAGACATACGTTGCAGGTACTGTAATAGATCTCTTGTTGTGCTGCTTTCGTGCTGGGCTTTTCTATAGACAAAATTGATTTCATAGAAGAGTAACATTGTTTCGTGAGAGTACTGCATCATATATTACTCTTTCGTAATTCTTTGCTTCTATTGAAAAAAAAAAAAAGAAATATTAGAATGCAATTTGTCGTGATTGGCATTCTGAAAGCACCCCTAAACAAAAGGGTTTGATGCATCTTTTTGGTTAAGCAGTTTCTTGATTATTATTTATTCAGCAAAATGTCCTATTTTTGGGGATGGCTGCAAAAATTGCCCACCCTTCAGATGTCAATACAATGAAAATTTGATCTCCACTTTTTGGTTGCTTAGCATGACAGTCCGTAGGATACATTTTTAAATGTGGAACTTACAGAAAGTTCTTGTATTGCAGGTGAATCAATTGCTGCAGGTTGCACAAAAGTGTCAAAGCACGATATCTGAAAGCGGGCCTGATGGTGTTTCCCAACCAGATTTACAGGCAAACAGTGTGATGTGAGTGAATTTCATTTCTGTTGATCAATTGTTTGCAAATGGCTTCTCCCTGGTGCAAAATTTGTGCAGCATGCGATTTATTGGTACTTAAAAGTTTAGGAGGGGGGTCCTTTTAATCGAGTGTTTCTACTCTTCTAGATATATCCATGTAGTTAAATTATCATCAGATATTTTCTTGCCTTCCCGAACCCCAGCCAGAGAACTACTTAGTTGCATAAATTGCTGTAGCACATTTTCAATCTGGGCTGGTAGCTGGCAGAGCTATTTAAATTCTAGTAAACAAAATAGTATTAACGTACATTAAATATTTTTCATTACATAAAATAAAAATAAGAAGAATACTATTTCTATCACTTTTATAAATAATAATAAATAATAATAATGACATTATATAACAATAAATTTTATAATAAAAAATAATTAATTATTATATGGTGAAAAAGAAAAAGTAAAGTTGTGGTTTTTATTATACCATGAAATAAATATATACTAAAATGACATTTATATTAGTATGAATGTGTTAATTAGTAGGATATTATGTTAATTAATTTATAAGATCGAGCTAACATGCTCTGGCTAAAAAAAACAACGCTGATTAAAGAGGTAAATAATTAGGCATTTGTGTCCCGTGCATTGCACAGGCTACGTACGAGTAGAGTGCATAAGTAATGAAAGTCAAGAAAGCCAATTATTCTCCCAGCATTAGGTAGTCAAACTGTATTTAGCTTGTTTGCAAAGATATGATAATTTTTTCTTGGCCTGGAAGAAAGGATTAATTGTAACTGTCACTCAAGCTAAAATTAGTTGTAGTAAATGCAAGTCGCTGCTACAAGCTGCATTAGTTAGAAGAGAGATGAATAATTTACAATTTTTTTTTTTTTTTGGAAATGTGACATTTCAGGGTCGTAACAGCTGGACGCCAGCTTGCCAGGAGCTTGGAGCTACAGTCGTTAAACGACTTGGGGTTTTCCAAGAGATACGTGCGGTGTCTACAGGCATGTCTGGGCCACTAATAACTCTGCACAGTTCAGTTAATCCTTTTTTAAGTTATCATTTTTTTTTTTCTCAAATGTCATATTTCCCATATTCATAGATATCTGAGGTCGTGAATAGCATGAAAGACCTGATGGAATTCTGCACATCTCAAAAAATTGGTCCTATTGGTAAACATATCCTTATTAACCGTCCTCTTTTTGAATTTCCACATATGGTACTCTAAACAACACATTTCACAAATTTCTTAAAAATCAATTTAATTTTGCAGAGGGCTTAAAGAATTTCCCCCGGCACCTGTCGACCCCCAAGCTTCAGATGCAAGAAACGGATCGAGATGTGGGCGCACAAGGCCTGCCAACTGACCGCAACACTCTCAACAAGCTCATGTCTATGCACCCAGGGCTCAACGGCTCAATAAACAACAACCAACTGGTTGTTAATCGAGGAGGACCCATTACTGGCTCGGCCCAGGCTGCTCTTGCATTGTCTAACTACCAAAATCTGCTCACGAGACAAAGTTCTACAAACTCGGCCCACAATAACAGTAACATTAATAATAATAATAACAGTAACAACAATAATGATAATGGTAATAGTTCACTTAAGCAGGAGGTTACTTCTCCTTACAGCAGCCAGAGCCAGAGCCAGACCCCAGGGCTTTTGGGTAATTTACCGCCATCAGCTATGAATGGATTTTCACAGCACCAAAAGTTACAGCAAAATCAACCGGTCCCTTCACAAGGCGGCGGCCAGGTTTTACAGCAGCAAAATCAAGGTGGCAATAGTATGCCGAGGAATAATGCAATCGCGAACCCTCCACCGAGT